GGGCTGGAAGGGGGGGGCAGGTCGGGGGAGGTGGGGATCCGCTAAAGCAGAGAGAAAGAGGAGCCAGGCGGGCGTTTTGTAGCTTTTACTCTATATATGAAAGAAGACAAAAACATACAAAGTATATGTACAACTAAAATTCAACAATATATACAGAAAGGTTGCTCGGGGGAAAGGTCCCTCTCGCTCGCGGGGGGAGGCTGCCGGCGGACAGCGCTGCACCTTCCTTCCCCAGCCCGCGGCCGCGGGTCTGGCCGCAGATCCGTCGCTCTGTCGTTCCTGCTCGTCTCCAGGAGTCTGTCCGGCTGTGTGCGGATGTGTGCGGGTGAGGGGGCTCTTGGCGAGAGAGACAGTGGTTTCTTCTGAGCTGCAGCCCATTGCATTTTAAGAAAGCATGCAGGTTTTGCTTCGTGGTAATGTTCTAATCTTACAGTATATTTTAATTTTCAACCAGTTCTCCTTTTTGCCCTCTTAATTTTTTTTTTAATCCCTTCTTCTTTCTTTTAATTTTTTTCCCTAGTCCGGATTTGGTGAATAAAAATGAAGGAGCTCTGAGTAGTCTCTCTTTCATCATGTAATGTCTTTAGCTCATTAAACAAGTAAAAACGGCTGCCATGGTAGATTCAGGTTCTTCTTGTGGGCAAAGTCTGTAAAAAGTTTGTTTTGACGTATACTCCATGGAGAAAGAGGCTGGTGCCTTGGAGTCCAAAGGAAAATATCCTAAAGAGAAGTGTCTTCTGTGCGCCAGAATTAAAATTGTGTCTTTCTGTTCAAGATCAATCGCTGAGGTTACTTCAAAAAAATAAAACAAAATAAAGCCACTCTGTCTCTGCCGCATCTACAAGTTCACACAGAGCCTGTTAGCTGGCACGGCTTGGCAAAGCAGGGGAACTTCTTGCCATGTCGAGACGAGGCGTTCTTGGGAGAGTATTTCTCTTGGACAATTCACATCATTTGTGGTCTCTGCATTGTGTCTTGATGTGGAGAAGAATACCAGTGAGAATAGCCAGGCATGTAGCTGTTGGGAGGCATATTGACTCCCTTGGCAGAAGCTGAAACGTCCCAGACCGGAGGCAGAGCTGGAGAGCGAGGGGAGAGGGCAGCAGAGCCGGGCAGAGGGTCGCTCTCGTGGGGGTTGCTGCCCTGCTTCAGCAGCTTCTTGAATTTGGAGCGCTTGTTCTGAAACCAGATCTTCACCTGTGAACCAAAACGCACAAAGATATTAGGCTGCCATCAGTACCCAAGCACGGCAGGGCCATGGGTTTGCTCTAGAGAAGGTCTTGAGAGCCCCCGCCAGTCGGGTGTGGAGCTGAGGATGGGCAGAGGGGAAGGAGGGATAGCTACTGCTGCTCTCGGGCTCTGGATGCAGCTGGAGAGAACAGAAGAGGCAGAGCGGATCTGGAAAGCGAGAGGGATGCAGGTTTTAATCTGGAACGTTATTTTCCCTGGGCAGGCTAGATTGATTGAGCTGAAACAGAGTACATGCTCTGAGCAATCTTGCTTTAATGCCTCATGCAGAATTTTGGAGGTCATTTGATCATTTGGGAAAACTGTTGTCAAACACGGGCAATCATATGATTTTGTGCCAGAAGACAGGAACCAATAGACAAAGGGCATCTTTACAAAGAAATCACGCATCCGAAAACACACATGGTCTTTGCTGATGGGACAGGGGAGGAGGCACAGTGGAACCACGATTGTGTCTTTATTTTAAAAGCTGTTTTTAAATAAAGGAAAAATCCATTTTCTCAACGAGTAATTTGCTATCAAGACTGCTTTGGGTCTCATCGTGCTCCTAATGCAGCAGAACTCCCGAGGAGGGAGCCCGCACGTGATGAGGTGTGCAAGGATCGGGCCCACTCTGGCAAATCAGAATTATTATAGAAATTATATATATGTAAGACAGATATACACACATATTTCTTAAAATCAAACAAAGATAACAACTCTCACGTGTGTATTTGACCTTGCAAACTCTGCAAATGTAATTTTAGGACATAAGCAGAGGTACTTGTCTAGCTGCATGCTCAGGATCAGGCCCCTAAATGTATGCGTGCGAGAGAGAAGGCGAGACAGCAAAGAGACAGAGTGTACATGCTAAGGATACTAAAATCCCATTTGTAAAACCATCAGGTCTATTCCCATGATTAATGTTTGCTGAGTATTTAAAAATCGCTGGCTGGAAGCGACTGTTACCAGTGACAATGATAAAATCCCAAAGTTATTTGTTAAGCTCATAAATTCACATGATTACATTTTACCCGAACTGATCCCATCTATCCATGCACTTCTCTGCAAACCCCAGCCTGGGAAGCCTGTAATGCCTCATGTGTCTTTCAAGCTTAAATTAGCAGAATGGCACAGCTACTCCAACCACACTTAACTGTGGCTTAACCTGCTATAACTTTGTACACGGCTGTCTTTGATCTCCAGATCTATTATCACCTTTCCTACATTTTGCCCAAGGGTAACCACTGCATTTGTGTTAGTCATCCAGGGTGAATTAACTATTGATTTTACAGGTATTTTCCAAGGTGTTCCTGCTTCCCCTCTACCTATAGCTACGAGGCAGCTTTGCTTTGCTTTTAGCTCTAGCTCAGGCCCAGCGATTCCTTGCATTTGTTTTGTTCTCTTTTTCACAGCTGGGTAATTGCATCTCGGTGCTGGAATTATCCGAAAATACAGGCAATTTAAAAATCTTATGTGTGGCATCAAAAGGGAGCGTTTGCTCTCCAGACGGCTGAGGGAAGGGTGCATTCAGCTCCTTCTGCGGTAGACCAGTCTCTCTGTCGTGCATTAGATAAGTCCTATCGCATATAGATGGGGGACCGTGTGAGTTACCTTTCCTACCGTTCCCGTACAGAGGCCAAAACGTCTAAGGAGCATCGTCCTTTGCTCGGCCTTTATTACTTCCGCAGGATTTCAGTGGTTTGGGATTCCCAGTAATTACCTGTGTCTGGGTAAGTCCTAATGAAGCTGCCAGTTCAGCTCTCTCTGGAAGTGCCAGGTACTGAGTCTGCTGAAAGCGATGGTTTAAAGCCTGGAGTTGTAGACTAGAGTAAATGGTTCGAGGCTTCCGAATCTTTTTCCCTTTTCCATTGAATCTGATTTCACCGTTTTCAATCACTGTGGTTTTTTGCTGATCTGCAAGGAAAACGCAGCTGAAAGATTACCCTCCTTAGCTGTTTAACGCTTGGGGACCCCCACGGCTCCTAAAACCCCAGCAGCCGGTCCCGGTGCCGGTTCGACACCATCGCGTTCACACAGGCTCCGGCTCCCTAAAGGCACCAGCGACACACACTGCTGCCTGGGGGCTACTGGGAGGAAAAACAACTGGCCGGGCACAGTGGGCACGCTGCCTTTCCCCCCGGGGGTGGTCGGAATAATAATATTAAAAAAAAAAAATAAAAGAGAGTGCAGCGCTGGCTTGGTGAAGGGATGCCAGTTTCCAGGGCCATCCAGGTTTTACCAGGCTAATTGACTTCACGTCGCCAGTTCGGTGGTCAGTGAATCACCAGTCC